ATTCATAACCTATCACCATGTTGGACCTACTACATTCCTGTGTTACAGACAGTGGCTTGTGTGTCTGCAAAATGGGGAGTGGGTTACTCATCCTAGTTACTTCTCCAGAGCTATTTTCATTGTGCTTATTACCGGATAGCCTAGTAACCAAAGGAATGGTTTGCAGTGTCTCTTTTGGATAATCCTAATGATTTGCATTTCAGCAAATTGAAGTGAGCTCACATGTCTCTGGTGTTTTTGGAATCAATCTTAAAATTTTGGGTAGGTTTATGCTTCAGACTCTCTATTCTGTTTTTCTTATTCTTTAGAATATCTTGTATTTGAGGTTAGGAAAACTTTAAGCCAAGTATTTTTCTTTTTTTTCCTCCAAGTTTTTATTTAAATTCCAGTTGTTTAACATGCAATTTAATATTGGCTTTAGGTATAGAATTTAGTGATTCGTCACTTATATACAACATCCAGTGCTCATCACAAGTGTCCTCCTTAATCCCCATCACCTATTTAAGCCATGCCCCTACCCACCTCCCTCCAGTAACCATCAGTTTGTTCTCTGTAGGTAAGAGTTCTCTGTAGGTAACTTCTTTGCAGCAGTTTTTGCAACTTCTTGGCTTGCCTCCCTCCCCCCACCATGTTCGTTTGTTTTCTTTCTTAAATTCCACATATGAGTAAAATCATATGGTATTTGTCTTTCTCTGACTGACTTATTTTGCTCAGCATAATACTCTCTAGCTCCATCCACATCATTGCAAGTAGCAAGATTTCTTTCTTTTTGATGGCTGATGAATATTCCATTATACACATACACACACACACACACACCACATCTTCTTTATCCTTTCATCAGTCAGTGGACATTTGAGTCCTTTCCATAATTTGTCTATTGTTGATAATGTTGCTATAAACATTGGGGTGCATGTATCCCTTTGAATTAGTATTTTTTTATCCTTTGGGTAAATACCTGGTAGTGCAATTGCTGGGACATAGGGTAGTTCTATTTTTAACTTTTCCTCCATACTGTTTACCACAGTGGCTGTCAGTTTGCATTCTCACCAACAGTTTAAGAGGGTTCTCCTTTCTCCACATCTTTGCCAACACCGTGTTGTTTCCTATGTTGTTAATTTTAGCCATTCTGACAGGTGTGAGGTAACATCTTATTGTAGTTTTGATTTGTATTTCCCTAATAATGAGTGATATTGAGCATCTTTTCATGTATTTGATAGCCATCTGTGCCTTCTTTGGAAAAATGTCTATTCTTCTGACCATTTTTTAACTGGATTGTTTTTTGGGTATTGAATTTTATAAGCCCTTTATATATTTTGGATAATAACCCTTTATCAGATATGCCATTTGCAAATATCTTCTCCCATCCTGTAGGTTGCCTTTTAGTTTTGTTAATCATTTCCTTTGCTGTGCCAAAGCTTTTTATTTTGATAAAGTCCCAATAGTTTGTTTTTGCTCTTGTTTTCCTTGCCTCAGGAGACATATCTAGTAAGAAGTTGCTGCAGAAGCCAAATCTTACTTAATAAACATTAGGCTGAGCAAGAAGATGAAATTTCCACTGTGAGTTGTACAACATTTGGCTTGTATTAATGATAGTTTTTATATAATCTGATTGCTGTTAATGTGGTTCAATGCACATACCTCAAATTCTTCCCAAGTATGGAGTGAGGATAAATTATGCTCTATGTAGATATATGTCTATATCTGTGTATATATCTCTCCAATTTGAGTTCTTGAGGAAAAGTCATCACTAAGAAAATCATCTTATGTTGGTACATAATTAAATAATGTTGAATGTTTTCTTTAGGAACTGTGTTCTTTAGTGTTGGAACTACCAGAATGTTCCCTTTAAGGAATAGACACCAAAGAAATATAGAGGTGGGTAATGCTAAGTTTTAGCTGGGGAATTATCTTAATAGTTTTTATTGGAATTTTTCTTGTATTAATAATTAGTAATCTTCATTATAGAAAACTTAGAAATACAGACAAATGTCTTAAAAACCACTCACTCCCACCATTCAGAGATTCTATTTGCAGTGTGGTGTGTTCTTCCTTCTCTGTCAAACAGAGCCAAACCCAACAACATGTATGTATTTCATAACCATGAAATTGAGCAAAATAATCAAGACTTAAGGATATATGCCGTATGAGTCTATTCATAAAAAGTTCAGATATAGGCAGAAGTCAATTATGTTTTCCAAGGATGCATATATATGTAGTAAAGAATAAAGAAGTACATGGGAAAGGTTATTCCGATCAGGTATTTGCTGAGAAAGGGCAGTGATTGGGGAGGCACATATGGAGGGCTTCTGTGGTGCTGGCAGTATTCTGGTGCTGGCAGTATTTTACATTAGTGGTGGTTACCATAGATATTCACTTTAAAATTGCTTATGAAAATGAGCTTATCTGTTATATATTTTACCACAAAATACATCCTTTTTATATTTTACAGTAAATACATAGAAATTGAGTGAGGCATAGAATATATATATTGGATATTCCTAGAAGAATATATAAGAAGTTCCTAACAGTGATGCCTTTGAGAAGAAGTACTGAGATGCTGGGATGGGAGGGAGACACTTTCATTATACACCTTTTTATTTCCATTTTGCATGTTTTCTGATGAAGAATGGTCTTAAAAATTGAGTGATAGAGGGTAGAGAAAACTGAGACAAAAAATACAAAATTTAAGAATTTAACATCTTTCTGACTTCCTTGTTAAGACTGTATAGGTTTGGAGTAGTGTGATTTAGGAAAAATATGACTGAAAATTAAAATCATAGGCTTTTCGGGTCACATTACCTTTTTTCGTGGTCAGGAGAATGTTTTTTGTGATGCCCTGCTGTCCTCAGAGATCTGTCTCACAGTCCTGGTTCTCGAATGTTGTATGCATCTAGGTCATCTGGCGGCCTTATTAAAATAAAGATTCCTGGGCTCTACCTCCAGAGTGTCCAATTAAGTAGGTCTTCATTTCCGTCAAATCTCCAAGTCATGGTCATGCTATTACTGCTTTTGCAGGGACTACATTTTGAGAACCAGTAGACAGGAGAGTTGCCCCCTACATAAGGACTGTACTGGAAAATCGAACAAAAATGGAGGCTTGTACCCAGGGCAAGATAGTATGTGCTTCCAACAGACAAGCAGCAGGAGTTATATAATTTGTGGCCCATGTTGTTGGCATTATGTCTGTTTTTAAGCCTATTTATGAATGACAATATAGGTCTTGTCAGCTGAGGAAATCAGAACCACTTAAAATCATTAGAAGAAACAATATTCTTGAGGTAGATGTCTAAATTTGTGGATTTCCTTAACTGTGACTTTGGGTAGCTGGAATAAAAAAGATCAATGTACTCATTTGAAAAAACTGAGACAAAAAATACAAAATTTAAGAATTTAACATCTTTCTAAAGATATTAAATAAAAGACTAGCTGTGGGAATTTTTTTAAGTAGGCTCCATGCCCAATGTGGAGCCCAAGGTGGGATTTAAACTCATGACCCTGAGATCAATATCTGAGCTGAGATCAAGAGTTGGACACTTAACCGACTGAACCACCCAGGCACTCCAAGAATCTTTCTCTTTTATGTCTTTTAAAGAGACAAAAAACTGAAGGGTGCATGGGTGGTTCAGTTGGTTAAGGGTCTGCCTTGGGCTCAGGTCATGATCTCAGGGTCCTTGGATCTAGGTCCAGACCCTGCCTTGGGCTCCCTTCTCAGCAGGGAGTCTGCTTGCCCTTACCCCCACTCATGCTCTCTCTCACTACCTCTCTCTCTCAAATAAATAAATAAAATCTTAAAAAAAAAAAAAACAAAGGGAAAAGATTTGTTTTGTTCATGTTGGAACTAATGCAACCATGGTTTGAGTTACTTTTTCAGTCTTTTTCATTGTGTTTGCCTAGAAGATTAACAAATTTCCATCGATGAGTTATAACATGTATAGCTCTTGTATAATTCATGAAAATCTCCTAAAAATATGAAGTCTACTTCTAATGGGATTGTGCTTATTCTACCCTCCACAAGAGGGGCTGCCTCTTTCAAAATTAGACTCTCACCCTGTATTGAAGCTGGCAATACCCTGTGGTGTAGAAACTTAGTATTGCTTTGTGGCTGTGTGATTGACTTGTTTTCTGTAGTAACCTGGCATTGACTTGTAATTCTGATGACCTATTTGCCTATTATTACAAAATTTTCAGTTTCTGGTCTATCTACCCAGTACTCTATTTTTGTTTTTCTTGGGGGTGTCCTTGTTTTAAAATTGTGATCTCATTTCAGCCATGATAGCTGTTCTTGGCTTTTGTTGTGCTGAGCCTATCCTTGTCTTCACAGCAAGGAGGGGTTGACTGTCTTTTCCTGGAGATCTTAGATCCTGTGCATCTTCTCTGTTGTTCCTAAGTTGGTATAGAGCCTGCTTTTACTATTTTCTACTCACTTAATTACATTATGAATTTTAAATACACTGAGTTACCATATTGCGGGTACATCTGTAAAGCTACATTGGTTATTCTTTTTATTGCCTTATAAGGAATTTACAGATTATGGTTCTTGGGACATTGGTAAGGATAAATATATATTTTAGATCTGGGTGTGTGGTATAAGTGGAGAATCAGAAATGCTATTGGATGAATTAGGTCTATTTTTTTATTAAGCCTACTTGCTCTTAGAATAGATTTTATGATCAGCTAATGGAATAATTTGAGATCCTTAAGACCTAAAAGCCTCACTAGTTCTCACTTTAACAGTTCTGCTAAACACACTCTCATCTGTAGTTGATTTAAAGAGATTCTACAATATTTTTCCTTACTAAAAGGCAGAAAATTAGAACACATTTGCAGTCAAACTAATTTGCAGGTATATCTTCTCTTCTATTAAAAATTACTGGGAGATTATCAGTGAAGTGGTCTTGCCCAGAAACATATTGCAGTCTAGGAAACAGAAAGCTTTTCCACCTGGTTTTTATGCCCCAGGATATTTGTTATGCATGTCTGCTAGGATTAGTTTTAAGTTCCTTCTGTTGAATTTAGTAGTGCTTGTGATTTCTTTTGTATTTCAGCATTGAAAATTAATCTAAACTCTTATAATCTCTAGCTCTGATTTGGCTTTTACACTAATCACATTTTAAAGGCAAACTAGCCCTATTTTTTAGTTAAAATACTTTTTAATTTTATTTCACTGGATTTAAATTGTAAAAGAAATCAAATTCCTCCAATTTGGTTTAAACTGGTTATTAAGCCTCCTTTAGCGCTGTCTGCTAGCTGCTTTTCCTGCTCTATCTTCTGGGAGGTGAATCCTTGAGTCCGTGATGGCAGCCACCCTGCTCATGGCTGGGTCCCAGGCACCTGTGACATTTGAAGATATGGCCATGTACCTCACTCGGGAAGAATGGAGACCTCTGGACCCTACACAAAGGGACCTTTACAGGGATGTTATGCAGGAGAATTACGGAAACGCTGTCTCATTAGATTTTGAGATTAGGAGTGAGAACGAGGTGAATCCAAAGCAAGAGATTAGTGAAGATGTAGAATTTGGGACTGCCTCTGAAAGACCTGTTGAGAATACTGAGGAAAATCCTGAAAATGAAGAGGACTTTGAAAGCGGGGATAGACCAGAAAGACAGTGGGGAGATTTAACAGCAGAAGAATGGGTAAGCTATCCTCTTCAACAAGTCACTGATCTGCTTGTTCACAAGGAAGTCCACACAGGCATCCGATACCATATATGCTCTCATTGTGGAAAGGCCTTCAGTCAGATCTCAGACCTTAATCGACATCAGAAAACCCACACTGGAGACAGACCCTATAAGTGTTATGAATGTGGAAAGGGCTTCAGTCGAAGCTCACACCTTATTCAGCATCAAAGAACACACACTGGGGAAAGGCCCTATGATTGTAATGAGTGCGGGAAAAGTTTTGGAAGAAGCTCTCACCTCATTCAGCACCAGACAATCCACACTGGAGAAAAGCCCCACAAATGTAACGAGTGTGGGAAAAGTTTCTGCCTGCTGTCTCACCTAATCCAGCACCAAAGGACACACAGTGGAGAAAAGCCCTATGAGTGTGAGGAGTGTGGGAAAAGCTTCAGCCGGAGCTCTCACCTAGCTCAGCACCAGAGGACCCACACAGGTGAGAAGCCTTATGAGTGTAATGAATGTGGACGAGGCTTCAGTGAGAGATCTGATCTCATCAAACACTATCGAGTCCATACGGGGGAGAGGCCCTACAAGTGTGATGAGTGTGGGAAGAATTTCAGTCAGAATTCTGACCTAGTGCGCCATCGCAGAGCCCACACAGGAGAAAAGCCGTACCACTGTTATGAATGTGGGGAGAATTTCAGCCGCATCTCGCATTTGGTTCAGCACCAGAGAACCCACACCGGGGAAAAGCCATACGAATGTAATGCTTGTGGGAAAAGCTTCAGCCGGAGCTCTCATCTCATCACACACCAGAAAATTCACACTGGAGAGAAGCCCTATGAGTGCAACGAGTGTTGGCGAAGCTTTGGTGAAAGGTCAGATCTAATTAAACACCAGAGAACCCACACAGGAGAGAAGCCCTATGAGTGTGTACAGTGTGGAAAAGCTTTCACTCAGAGCTCCAACCTCATCACACATCAAAGAGTTCATACGGGAGAGAAGCCTTATGAATGTACCGAATGTGAGAAGAGTTTCAGCCGGAGCTCAGCTCTTATTAAACATAAGAGAGTTCACACTGACTAAGTCCTGTAATTACAAGAAATGATTCATTTGAAGGTACAATTTTATTTGATATCAAAGAGCACTCTGAAGACTGAGCTTCTTTTACCATACTGAATTTCTTTGTGGGCCATGGTTTAAAACATCAAAGAAGATAAGCCATTTGCAGTTCTGACCCACAACTCTGGGAATGTTATCCCCTCCTCGAAAGTAGTGATTTTTATTCATTTGATATTAATGAAGTACTTCATCAAAATCAGCCCCACAAATAACTGGGAATCAGAAGACCAGGGGATAAATGCTGGTAAATACTCAGGCCTGGAAATGGAGTAAATCTTTAAAACTTATTTCTCTCATCCTTGGCCCAAAGAACTATGCTAGGGGAAATGTTGGACTGTAATAGGGTGGTCACAGCTGCTTCGGAAAAAGACAACCAGAGACTGCCTGAATTGCCACACCTATTCACTCTCCATAGTAGTTGGGCACACACATCTTCCCCTTCAAAAGGCTTTTTCCTTGAGCTGCTCATGCATTTATATCTTTCCATCTTTCTGAGAGCAGGATTCTGCACAATGAAGGCAATGATCAAAACTTTTTTTCCTCATTGTTTCTAATTTAACTTTATTAAAGCTTGCATCTTTGCAAAAGCTAACTGAAGATACAGATTGAAGGGAAAAATGAGACACAGGTTTGGGGACCAAGGACTTATCAGTGGTAGTGACTTTAGCAAGAGATGCCCACTGTTGTTACTGCCATTAATCAAAATGTATTCATTTTCTTTGGGGATCATTGTAGGGAAAATATCTTCAAGGAAAGCTAGGACCATACTGATGGTGGAGTGTAAGAAGCAAGTGGGATTGACCACTTCAGGGAAGGAAACACAGAATTCCTCTGCAAGAAACACCACCGGTCCTTTCTGTGTTCTTCCCCCTCTACCCTTTAAGATCAATTCTCTGTATACTGCTAAATGTAGAATTTGATAAGGGCCACATCCCAGTGTTTATCTTGGCTTGCATAAGGGCATGTGTAATGTACAGTAAAACGTGTATTCCTGTAATTTTTCAGTAGCAGAAACTGAATTCACACAGAATTAGCATGTTCTTGGGTGATGTTGATCATGTGACAGAACTACAGACAACTCCAATGTGAGAAATGTCCTTTTGTTTTCATTTTTTTCTAAGGAAAATATTTAAACCCTAGTGCTCTAGTGTGCACTCTCCTGTAAGATCTTTGTACAGAACTAAGCACTTGTTTATGTGTATCAGTCAATTATGGGAGATAATGACTGGACAGAGAGGGTGATTGTCCTGTTCTCAGACTGAATTGTCTTCTCTTTGGGCTAGTCACAAGGAATTAATAAACCTAGATAGGAATGTATTTCCATCCTCTCAGTCTACAGATACATGTGGTTAAAATGAGAGTTGACCCAATTTAAGCCTGTTAGTGTCAGTTCTCCTTATCCCAGCCCACCATAGGAATTAAGAAATACCCCAGATGTTGATGCTTACCCAGGCATTTGGGGGTGGCAGTGTGAGGGGGCTAGAGTAAGGAATATATATTTTTGAGCGTGCCCCCAGGTTCTTTCTACTGTGCTTTATTGTGAGTGTTGTAACATTTGAAAAATACTTCTGCCATAGCTCTTTGGGACTTGGTGTGTTAAAGGAGCCAGTGGTTTCTCGGGTAATCTACTAAAATGAGTCATTAGGACCCACAGCTGTGTGGGACTGCATCCTTTGCAGCGACACAGCCTTGAAAGTAACAAAATGAAACACCACTCAGTCAAGGAGGTCTCTTTATTATGTTGCCACTCCTATTGAAATACAAACTTGGGCAGGGAGCATGTTTGGTGTTCTATACAAAATCTAGCCGACTGTGGGTATTCATATTTTAATTGTTGAATGACTTAACATGTTCTTGATGACTAAAAAAAAAATAAACTGGTTATTAATATTCCATATCATTTATTTATAGATCAGTTTTGTTAGTTTATGCACTCTTAGTTATGTCAGGATTAAAACTTTTCTTTCACAAGTTCTTACTCAAATAAAAGGCAGGACTTCTTCATTGACATTTTTCTATCTTTCAGTTTCATTTCTCACCACCTGTATTTGTATCTGTACTGTGGAGTGTAGCATCCACACTATGGTGAATTGTCTTGCCTGGCAGCTGCTTTAAAGTTTCCTTTTGTATGTAGTTTTGATCATGAGTGTCCTTTTCATGGGCTCTTGTTTCTATGAGTAATGTTTTGTTTTCATCTATTTATGTCTTCTTATTGCATGGAGTAAGCTTAACATTCATGGTAAAGGTGTTTTTCAAGTTATCCCACAGTAGAGGGGCATGTTTCTTGGCTTCAAGGTTGCTTTCAGGTGTGTATGTTACTATAGAATACAAATATTATGATATCAAGGGAGAATATACAGATTCCAAGAAAGACCTTAATATCAGAATAAGTTATTTCCATAGGAAATATTTTTTGATGCAGAGAATTGTAGCAAATTGAAACTACTAGATTATTAATTATGAAAACCAGTTTTGTCATACTTTTGAAGAATATTGTTCATCTACTTTGTTAACAACTTTTCTCTTAATGATTTTCTCTCTGTAAAAGTTTTCTAGCACTACTAATAAATAGAAAGTGATCATTGTTTCTCTTTTTCTTTCAAATTTTGATAAGCATCAAAATGGTTAGAATGAAGGAAACCCTAAACTCTGAATAACAATAAACTGGGTGATGATTTTGCAAACATTTGAAAATTTACTAGATATATATTTTAAATTCTTCTGTTATTGATTTTGTAGTATATATTCAGAAGATAAAAAATGATAAGTTGTGCACATATAAATAATGTATATTTTTGCATATTGTAGGGGATACAAACTTTTACCTTTACCTTCTTAGAATCTTTTGGGGGGGAGCCTGAGAAATTAGCATAAAAGATCAAGAGGAGACAGGCATACAAATTTATTTAATACAAGTTTTACATGACACAGGAGCCTTCATAAGGAATGACGACCCAAAGAAATAGAGAAAACCTACTTGCTTTTATATTAGGTTGAACAAAGGCGGTTATGCCAATTGTGGAGGTGACTGAGCTATGTGGGATGGCAGAAGGAAGAGAAGAATGATTTTCACAAGGTCTGTTTGTATAGAATTCTCAGCTTCAACTCATCCTTATTGATAAGATTGTTGCTTTCTTATTGGTATGGGGAGGATATTTTTCATATGGGAATTTCATCTCCTGCTTTTAAGAAAAGGAAGGTCAGAGTGTTTTTCTTGTATTTGCTGATATACTTGAATGTCTTTAACTCAGAATAGTCAATATACCAGAGCAATGTATTTTGGGGGCATGTTCTGAGCTCCTTCAATATACATTAACTATTTAATTGAATTATATATACAAGTGAATTAAATATTTCTATTTTATTGTAGTATGACATAATCAGATACTAGGGCTAGCAGAACTGGGTTTAAATTCAGTTCTGTCTCATTCGAGGGCATGTTTTTCCCTTGAGTATAGATGATAAAAATCTATAAAATGAAGATAATAGTACTTGCCTCAGAGGGCTGTTGTGAGGATTACATGAAATAATATGAATAGCACATACAATACATACAAGAAAGAAGACTAACTGTCCTCTCCCAAATTTGTGTTATCCTTCCAGTGTAGACTTGATTTTGATAAGTGACTGTCCTGTCGGAGACTATTTTCTAACTTTCCTTGTACAGTCATGTCACTGGGTTTGTTGAAAAGGCTATCTCTTCTCCATTAAAGTGCTTTTATGTCTTTGTCAAAAATCATATTTGTGTGGAAATCATATTTGTGTGGATCCATTTCTAGGTTTTCAATCTGTTCCATTGATCTGTATGTCTGTTGCTCTGCCAGCCCTGCACAGTCTTGATTACTATAGCTATACAATAGTTATGAAATTGAGTAGATTGACTTCTTTGACTTTTTCTTGTAATTGTTTTGGCTGTTCTAGTTCCTTTACTTTTGCATATAATTTTAGGATAATCTTGTCTGTATCTACAAAATATCTTACTGGGAGTTTGATAGGAATTGCACTAAATCTATATATCAGTTTGAGGAGAATTGACATCGTTACTGTGTTAAGTCTTCTAAATCATGGATACGATGTAATTCCATTTATTTAGGTTTTCAGTTCAGCATCTTGTAGTTTTCATAACAAGTCCTGTGCATGTTTTGTTAGATTTATGCCTAGTAATTTTTTCTTTTTGAGTAATTATAAATGATGTTGTAGTTTCAATTTCGATGTTCATATATTTGTTGCTAATATGTAGATATACAGTTGAGTTTTGTATGTTTATCTTGTGGTGAAGTCAATATTAGTTCTAGAATATTTTTTGTAGTTTTTTGGATTATCTGTATAGACATTCTGTCATATGCAAATAGGGGCAGTTACATCTCTTTCTTTCTGATCTGTATGCCTTTTCTTTCTTTATTAGCTGGCTTGAACTTTTTTTTTGATATTCAGATAACTTTATTATTTTTTTATTATTATGTTCAATTCTGGCTTGAACTTCTGACACTATATTGAATAAGAACAATGAGAATGGGCAATCTTGCCTTTTACCGTTAGGCATAAGGTTAGCTTTAGTTTTTTTGTAGATGCTCTTTATGAAGTTCAGGAAGTTCCCTTCTATTCCTATTTTTCTGAGAGTTTTGATCATGAATAGGTGTTGAATTTAAAAAATTTTTTTTCTGGATCAGTTGATATGATCATGTGATTTTTTCTTCCTTAAGCCTGTTAATATAGCAGATTACATTTATTAATTTTTTTTGAACAATGAACCAGGCTTGCATTCTTGAAATAAACCTCACTTGGTCATGATGTATAGTTCTTTATATATATTGCTGAATTTGATTTGCTAATATTTTGTTAAGGATTTTTACAACTATATTCATTATTGATATGTAGCTCCATAGTTTTTGTACTTTGTCTGCTTTTGGTATTAAGGTAATACTATTTTCATAAAATGAATAGGAATTATCCTATTTATATAAGTTTATATTGTACCTTTTTTCTGTGCAATTAAATAATATTTGAAAACATTTTAAAATCTGAATAATAGTTGTAGGAATGTACTCCTCTTTACCTTTTCCTTGCTTTATTATTTAAAAATTTTAAAATGTTATTATTAATACTTCTATGATTAGTCTTTTCCTGTGTAAATCCTTGTGGATCTCTTACTTATCCTTACAATAATTTCAAGAGATGCAATTCTTATATCAAATGATAAATTTTTAAAGTTTTTGGTAAACCCCAATTTATCTTCCAGAAAGAGGGTGTCAAGTGCTTCCATAGTGGTGTGTATATGAGATTACCCAGTTCATTATATTCTAACTCCTAAATGTTATTGTTTGATTTGGTATGGTTTCTTCTGATTTGTTACTCTGATATTTATTCTTGTGTCAATCAACACTGTTCCAATCATTCTTTAGGAGAGTACTTCTAAATTCCCAAGATTTTGAGTTTTGTTGTTAACTTTTCTGGATATTTTCTCATTTTATTGTATGTTAGTCAAATAAAATGGCCAATATAATTTTTATTTATTATAGTTATGTTGGTGGGATGTTTAAATTATGCTTAATCTTTAAAAAATCTTCTATTTATAATATTTTTTATTGAGTCTGCAAAAGTTTGAGAATGCTATGTTTCTATTTATCTCTTCTTTACTTCTGATATTATTTTTCTTTATTAATAATGTGTCATATATTCTGTGCATATAGATTTGTGATATTCTAGTTTTACTTTTTTAAAAATATCCTAAGATATTTTTTCCCCTGACTTCTATTTTGTTCATTGTTAATATTGCTACCCCCCTTTGGCATTTTGATTTTGTTCACTATATCAGAATTAGGGGATTCGAGCTGGGTTTCTATCAGCTGCGCTAACAGTGTCCTCATTAGCCACCTTACTTACATAAGACAGGATAGACTGCAGCCTGAGAAAGAAAGGTTGTAGTAGGAAGGGTGGAAAAAGACGAAACAGTGGAAGAGAGATAGTGGAAGAGAGAGCACGTGTCAGCTCCCAAGTGAGGACCTCCTTCTTCCTTCTTTTCTTGCTCAGATTTACTTCTAGCATGAATCACTGTGTTTGCCAGGTACTGCTGGCTTCTACAACCATGGCTTTTCTTCTCTTGAGAACCAGTGGGTCTGTCAGGCTCTGTGGTGCCTGGAGCTGGTGTTGCTGTGGCCCTGGTTACCTATTTCTCATCCATCAGTGCAGCCATCTCATTAGGTGTGATGACCTGGACACTAGCATCAGCCTCCTTGAGATGTCTTGGCAGCACAGTGTTCCCTTGTGAAATGGGAGGTATAAAATGCTTGCATTTTAACAGAACTGCTAAAATTAGATTCATGCTA